TTCACTGGAGAATCCAACCACTACCTTCCAATAACCACAACCTCTACTCGGCCATATAAAAGGCCACTTTATTCGTTATGTGATTTGTGCATAATTAATTCGAGCAAGTATACCCTAGTCAAATATGTATATAGTGATGATATGAGTGTCAATCACATAAAGACTCTATCACAATACCAAACCAATTTAAAACTTTAGGGGTGGGAAAGGTAAAAAGTAATCTTAATGAAAGTAGATATACTCTTAGAAGTAGGGTTCATTAGAGAGGTCATGTACCTAAACTATCTAGATAATATTGTGATGGTAAAAAAGTCCAATAAAAAATGAAAGATGTATATGGACTTCATCAATCTCAATAAGTCATGCTCAAAAGACAAATTTCACTTATTTAAGATAGATATACTAGTCGACTCCACTTAGGGTTTTGAGTTCTTAAGCTTTTTATATACTAACTCTAGTTATCATCAAATTCCTATTCATCCCGATGATAAGGAAATAACCTTTTTTTTATTACAAATAAAAAAATATATTATTATAAAGTCATGCCCTTTGGCTTAAAGAATACGAGAGGCAACCTATCATAGAATGGTAAACAAGGTGTTTAAAGAACAACTAGGTAGGAATATGGAAGCCTATATGGATGACATGTAGGTTAAAAGTTTGAGTTTCGAATAACACATTTAGGATCCCTAAAAGGTGTTCTTAGTTCTCTATATTTATCAAATGAAGTTGAATATTTCTAAATGTGCATTTACCTTCTAAAGATGTAAGTTTTTAAGTTTTCTTATGAGCAAAAAAAAAAAAAAAAAAATTTGAGCAAAACTACAAGAAGGTTCATAGTATTCTAAATATACCTATCTCGTAGTTAGTAAAAGATGTATAGAGGCTTACTAGCTAGCTAGTCATGCTAAAATGTTTTATCTCTTAGTTGAGAAAGTGATTTTTACCTTTCTTCGATACCATATAAAAATCATCAATTTTCACTTTAATATAAAATGTGGAAAGGTTTTTGAAGAGTTGAAGATGTTTCTATCATCCTTAAAAAATTTATCACAACTAAGTAAAAAAGAAACCATTTTCCTATATTTAAGAATAGTTGATATGTCCATCAATGTTGTTCGGTTTGGTAGAAAAAGAAAACACAAAAGCTCGTCTATTATACTATTAGAACTCTTTATCAAGATAAGACATAAAGACATCATACTTGAAAGGTGAAAATCTAGTCTTCACACTAGTTAAAGCAATAAGAAAGCTCGAGCCTACTTTCGAGTTAACTATATTACAATCTTAATCGATTAACCACTAAAAAAAATCCTTCACAAACCTCAACGATAGAAGGATGGAATTTTTTATGAACATCTTTGGCACGAAAATAGTTCTTATCATTCCACATCAAGACGTCTTTAAATATAAGTTATATTTTAAATTTCATTCCTCTAATAATAAAACAAAGTATGATGCTCTTATTATTGAACTGAACTTGGCAAAGGTTTTAAAAAGCCTACTCTTTTTAAGTACATAATGATTCTTAACTAATAGTGGGTCAATATAAGGAACAATTCAAGGCAAACGAGCCATCCATGACCATATACCACAAGTGGGTAAAGAAACACCATGAGATTGCTAAACGGGGATACGAAGTTGATCTCTATCTCTAAGATTCAAAGGGAAAAGAATGGCTAGGTAGATCTATAGATAAATATTCATAATTATAAAAGATTAATCCTATAGGACAAGAGTAGAAATATGACAATAAAATCTAATATATCTTAACTATGTCTCTTTAAACCTTCATCATTATTTTAATGCCCTTCTCTCTCATTTTCTTACTCCAAACATTCTTACCTCTTTTTAGTAGGGGAAGGAATTAGTTCATGATTAAGAAAGTATTATAAGAGACCTTATCTTACTACACGGATGGTTGATTAGGCATGAATCTCTCTTTGTCGATGGTAGCAACCCAAATTAGGAATAGTTGGTTAAAATTTAAGACTTCACTATCTTTGAAGACTTGAGAAAAATCCATAAAAATATTCTTAACCTTGTTGTAGAAGTAAACTTACATCTAGATCTCTACCACTCGATCATTAGAGACATTCAATCCAAGAGTCTTCCAAAACATATTATAGAATTCCTTTAAAAAATTCCTAATCTCCTTTAATTATGAAACCTCTACTTGTGTAATATTTCTCTATTAGGTTATTGTATACAAAGCCATCTTCAACTCATTCATATTTTTATCCATCTCCTTAAGGGCTTACTCAACATTTTAATGTGCTTGAATGTCTACCTATTTAGCAAGAGAAGATACATCTTTTTCTTTGAAAGTATTGGCTAGTAACCTTTATCCTTCCTTAATTTATTCTCTATCTCCATCTAGAGGGATTGTATCTTTTTGCTTTGGTTGGTTAGATCAACTTAGGCATCATGATACCTATGAACGATCTATTTATTTCTCACATTTTAACTTCCTACTCTAGAGACTCGTGAGCTTGGATATGAGAACTCTATAAAAGAAAACTAAGTCAACATATAGGATAAATTATAATAACATGAATAATAAATAAGGCAACTTACATTGAGGGACATCTCTATAGTTATATGCATCAAACCAAAGAGAGATTCATCCGACCATATGTCTATATCTTTACCGAATTGAGATAGGTATTTAAATAACTTGAAAATCTACTCTCTCTCATTCTCTCATATGATGGGTTTCTTCTCGAAAAGTACATCTTGTATTTCATATGTATGTGTATTAGAGAAACTAAGATATGAGGTATAAAACCCATCTTTAGCATATTGAATATGTTAGTGGCTATATTTTGTTCTCGAACTATATGGAGCCTTAGAGGCCTAATTGGCTAGTGTAGAGACACACATTTCATATAACACTACTTAAGTCACCATACGAGTATTTAGGGGTAGAATGATGGTAGCAATTTTTTATTATTACCTAGATAAACCCTTTTGATAACGATAGAAACACTAGAAAAATCTCTTTTTTCCCTATTAGCAAGCCTTGCACTCACACCTCATAAGCTTATGCTTTTCTCTACCTATATTCTAATGAATGCCTATCTTTAGGGTCATGAATGAAGAGTCTAAAGAAGTAAAGGAAGAGTAATACACGGGTAGACCTCTACTCCCTAAAAAAGTAAAATAAGAATATCTATTTGAATAAGAGCCCAACAACCTACTTTATACTCCTTGATCCCTTTAGAGTCTAGAAGGACCAACTCGTTAAACCGGATGATTGGCTGGATTAGAAACATCACCTTCAACGAGACCTTACAAAGTGAAAATAAATAATTAGTTTTTAAATATAAATAAAACGAAAACAATATATAAAGGAGTAAGTCTATCATTTGAGCTTTAATTTAAAAGTAACTCTATCATTTGTCCACCTTCGAGGCTAAAAGGTTAATCTTATACATCATACTTATTTTCTTAACTCTCTTCAGAAGGCCTAGTAAGCATCACTCAATTAGGTCAATATATTCTACTCTCGGTCGGTATTCTTAAAAGTGGGAACACCCTTATACCTTTGCCACTCCTTATGAGAGTTCCTTATGTATGCATGATTAGTTGATTCAACGGGTTAATCTTAGGAGCTTTAGATAGAAGAAATTTGCACCTTCATAGGATGCATGATCCTTGCGCTAACCTTTCGTTTCCCCTATGTAAACACAACTTTTCGGATAATTTACAATGATGGCACTCACCTAGAAGCAAAACAATGACAAAAAGAATGAAAAGACCTTTTGGTTTGCTTGAATATAATATATTTGCCATCCAAATGCATAACATGTTTAGACATGAAGTTCAAGTCTTCGTGAGAAGTGTCATTGAAACTTGAAAGAGAATTGATGTATCTATGATACATGTGTATTCTAGAGGGTCCCATCATCCGTCATAAAGGTTGATGTGTGTAGAAGAGGTCCCATTCTTAACAAGATAACATGCAAGGGAAAATATCGGTTAGATGATATCTTGCTCAAGCAAATCCTAGACGGATAGATATTGGAGCCATCAAAAGAGCCCACCATCCATTTGGAGCTCAACTAGCCTCAACCCGGAGAGCATGACCTACCCTTTATCGGCCAAAAAGGATTGATCGTACACTTGTTAAATATATGTACATCTCTAGAGTCGTATTTCTAATATCATCGTTTATATCCAATAACTCTAAAAACATTTATCTCCTAATCGGTCTCTTCAATTATCGATGGCAAATGAATTGACGATCCAACCTTTCTCTTCATGGAACTTGGACAAGACCCTTAGCACTATAAACAATCATGAACCTTATTATTAAATGTTCACAATCTCTTTTCTCAATCTCTATTCGTTTTCTTTTTCGAGATATGTATTAGTATCTTTTTAAACTTGTACTCCTTTATACTTACTTAATCATCATAAGATTCTTCACTTATCCTTTATTTAACTAAAAAGATTTATTTTGCAGTTTTATTAAAAAATGTAAACCTTCTTAATCTTATTGCTTTTCGATGAGCACAACCTTTACTTAGCCATGCAAAAAATCACATCATTCTTAACTGTTGGGCTTCAATATTGTGCCTAGACCTAAAACATCGATGTTGTCGCAATTTAGGCATTGTCCAGAACATAAGCATAAGTTATGTGGATGTCTACTTGGATCATTAGAATTGGTTACAGAGTTTAGATAAATATTATAGTCAAGACTATAAATGAATGATTATAGAATCAGCTGTTTAGGATGGACCGCGATGATCAGAGCTTCTTTAGTAAATTAACTTTTGTGTCGCCACAAATGTGAAAAAAAGAAAAGAAAAAAGAAGTGAGCGCAGCTGAGAAGAAGACAAAAGTGCACTGTTGAAACAGTAAATTAGGATGGTCTGTGTGTCTGAAATCTGAATCTGTCCCTACCTAAAAAACGCACATATATCTATTGTAATTGGTCCTTGCTTGGCAACGCGTGGGGCGGTGTCTCTTCTCTTCTCTATAGTCTAAAGTCTATGGTATACGGTATACCGATCCCAATTCCTGTCCCTTTTGTAATTTGTATTCTACCCGTATCAATAATCATATAATGACAAAAATGGAGACTGTATCAGTATTTACTACTTCTATACTACATACAGAAAAGCCATTGTTTATATTAGAAATATAAATACAACTGCCCGACAAGATGCACTGTTAATTTCTATTTCAGAAGAGACTGTACTGTATTTTTTGTTGGATTTTTTTATTCTTTTATCCAAAAGAAAGAGAGAGTGGATTTCCATTTTGTTCCTCTCTTTGTTTTCAGCTTATTATTGTTTTCACTTGCTTTCACTTGAACAACAAAACCTAAACTCCATCAAACAATAACAAGGCCTCCATTCACCAACTGGGTTTTGGGCAAATCTTGTATTGCACCCTTGACTTCTTTTCATTTTGACTGTTTTGCTAAAGGTGAGTTTGTCTTTCCCTTTCTTACTTTCTTGGGCTTTTTTGAGAGGTTTCGAGGACAATTTTAGTGGTTTTTGTTTTTGAATTTGTGGTGACGAACCTGGTTAACTGTGTCCTCTTTGGCTTGTAGTTTTTTACTCCTTGTTTTTTGCTTTGAATGGGAGAATTTTTTACCATGCTTTTTTCTTTTTTCTTCTTGCTTTCCCTGTTTCGCTCTCTTGGATTCCGGTTTCGGTGTGGAAAAAGTTGATTGCTTTATTGGAATCTGGTCATGTGGCATAACTGTTGATTAGTCTTCCTTACTTTTAAGTTTAGGGGTCGGGGTTTATAGCAGTAGTTTCAATGGAAAGTCTCAATTTTCAGGGTTCTTGGCTTTTGGGTCTTTGAGAATTTGGGAGTAACTTCTGCTCTTGCTGGCCTTTGGTTTCTAGGTTTGTTTATTGGTTAAGTATGGGTTTCTGGTTTTTTAAGTAGCTCATGTGCGCAAGGTCTCATTTTGGGGTTTTCGCTTTCTGGTTTTTGATGATTATCTGTTAAATCAAACTTAGATTTTGTTCATTTTAAAGTTAGATTTGCGGTTCTGAAATTGTTCAAGTTTAGGTTTTTGTCTTCTGGGTTGAGAAATTTATGTTCACATCAGCTCAAGCTACGGGCTTCACCTGTTTGCCTTGCTTCTGAGTTTTGATAGTTGGCTGATTTTTTTTTTTTTAATTGGTTCGTGCGAAATGTCTCCTTTGTAATTTGGCTCCAAATTTTTAGAATCTGTGTTTTGTTTTAGCTCAGACTTGGTGTTAGAAAAGGTGTTTCAAACATCAAGGTTCCCTTATTTTGGGATTTAATTTTTGGAATTGATTGTTAGTGCAGGTTGTAGAGTACTAAAAGTCACAGTATCAACGGTTTTTTCAAATATATCTTGTTTTGTGCTTTGCCAGGTCTATTATTGGAGCGGTTATGGATTCCCCTCAATCTGTTGTGTCACCATTCAAGACCACTGCTGTCTTTGAGCCGGAGAAGCAGAAATCTGATTATTCAGTTCAGAGCACTGGCAACTTATCCAAGGGAATTGAGGTCCCCAGGCATGAGGCTGTGGTTGACAATCTGGAAGACTTCGTTGGTATTGTTGAGGTTTACATACACCAGGCTAGGGACATCCAAAACATATGCATTTATCAGAAGCAAGATGTTTATGCAAAGTTTTGCCTGACTAGTGATCCTGAGTGCACAGTCTCCACCAAAATCATCAATGGTGGTGGGAGGAATCCTGTCTTCAACGACAGTCTGCGGCTCAATGTTAAGACTATTGATTCCTCCCTTAAATGTGAGGTATTCATGATGAGCAGGGTGAGGAATTATCTGGAGGATCAGCTGTTAGGGTTTGCTCTGGTGCCCTTGTCTGAAGTACTAATCAATGGCGGGAGCTTGGAGAAAGAGTTCTCTCTTTCTTCAACCGATTTGTTCCACTCTCCAGCGGGGTTTGTTCAATTATCTTTATCATACACTGGAGCTTCACCAGAGGTAATGGCGATTCCAACAATGCCCATTGCTTTAGCTACAAATGAAACCATTCAGGATTCAGAGATACAAGAATCACTCCCATGCGAACTTGATAAGATTGAGTTCCCGGATCCAAAGGTTGTGAATGAAAACCAGATGATGGTCTCAGAGTATTTTGGAATTCCGTGTTCCAGTCTGGATTCTGAAGCCTCTGAGAGCTTGGCCACTTCTGATGCCGAAAATCATCTCAGTTCAGAAATTGGAGTTCATGTTGTGGAAAGCTTCTCAGCTGCCACTTCTGATTCAAATCAAGTTCCTAAGCTTGATTCTCCTCCGAGCAGTGTGTCAACTAATGGGGTTTCTTCTCCTTCTGTTGCTGCAAGTTCAGAAACCTCTGATAGCCCAGCAGCTTCAAAAACACCAAATCAGGAGCATGTCTTAGTCCATAACGAGAAAGAGAGTGCAAATGCCGGTAATGGTGAGAGTGATTGCTCTGGTGGAGAGTCAAATGAGAAAATTGCAAAACCTGTTATCACAGTCAACATTGAGCCGGAGACTAACATGGTTCAGCAGGACATAGTAGACATGTACATGAAAAGCATGCAACAATTCACAGAGTCACTGGCCAAGATGAAGCTTCCTTTGGACGTTGATAGTGGACCAGCTAGTTCAGGAAGTTCGAGCTCTGATCAGAAAATGCAGGCATCAAAGAACCCTGGTTCCCGTGTGTTTTATGGGAGTAGGGCTTTCTTCTGAGCTTCGGGTTCTACTAGTTCAGAGGAAAACACAGGTGACTTTAGGCATTAGCATGGTGACTAATACTAATAGTTGAGTATAATAATGTATCATGTGCAGTGTGTTGTTTCCTTCTGTATGGTGAGATGTTTAGATGACAGGGAAATCATGACTTTGTATGCGTTACCAGCTCTGTTTCATGACACTGCTGTCACTAGACATGAAAATTTCCCTTTTATTGTTGCTTTCCAGTTTCCTCCATGTTTCTTCAACTCTTAATAATTATGAAATTGATTTTCGCCTAATTATAAGCTAATAATTAATGTAATCATATTGGCCCCACAGTCACATGGTGATCTTATCGAAAAGTCAAATAAGGGCTAAAGTATCATCCATGATTTTGCTTTTGGCAAATTTTGTGTTCACAAATATCGATCGCACTACTTACTGCTTTTCTACTTCTGATCTTCGTAGTCCATATTCAAAGTAGTTGGTGGCACATTTAAGTTTCACGAACGATGCGGAAAGTACGAAATAGCCTATTTATCTTTTCATTTTCGTTATCAAATAAAAAAGATTAAAAATATCTTCGTCTAATTAGACAACGTTTTCTTCCAATCTATATGATATATGCTGGCATCAATATTTATTTTCTGAAAATAAGCTTTTAGTTTTGTGCTTGGTAATTGATGATTTTTAAAGTGTGTTTTGATGTTTTCGAAGTTAAAATCATTTAAAAACACTTAAGAAAAAACATCTCAATCCAAATATATTTTAAAAAACAATCCCAATACTTTGCCAAAAACTATTTTTTTGCAGCAACAGCTACAGAAAAATGTTTGTTCCTAAGGAATGGTTGCTTCAAAATGAATTCTTCCCTTTCCTAGATAACCATCAAATTTTGATCTATTTTGGGAATATATATATAACCAATATTTGATTAGAAAATATCTACGGAATGGACACCAACCACTACCAAACAAGGCAGCATGGCAGCATGCATGGATAATGACGAAAAACAAGAACGAGAAACTCCATTTCCAGTACTTCCAGGCATCTGAAGCCTGAACACTTTCAAATGGGTACTTCAATTATTTCATTTGCCCTTATGATCATATGCCTCCTACAGATCCATGCAATCTGCCCATCATCTCTGTATCTGACCCTCCACAATCCAAACTTCTCTGCAATATCCTTTCCAGTCGAGCACTCACGGTCCCTTAAAAAATCCACCACCCACTGCTGTGCAGCTCTTTGGTCTTGTTTAATGTCTCTTGAGCTTTCTGCAGCCCTGCTCCTGTTCCTGCTTCCTTGCATGCGCCCCATAGCTGCAGTCCCTACAGCTCCAGCAGCAACTGCTCCTGCTGCTCCGTACATAAGAGAAGAGCCGGTCAGATGGGCAACTTCTCTGCTCAAATCTGGTATCATCTCTCCCATTCCAGTAGCCAGATGGGCTCCTATCTTGAGAGCAAATGTTAACAGTTTCATGAATTTCTTCATGTATGGAGCCAGACTCTTCACTGCCACGTTATCAACCTGCATCACTTCACAGCCAATCTGATCTTCAACGACATGCATTTCTCCCCTGAATTCACATAGCATGTGCAGCCGAAGTGCAGTCATTCCAGAAATCATGTTGGTGATCAGTCTTCTCGAGTAGTTTTCTGTTCTAACAAAAAAGAACATGTTCGGCACTTTCTTTTCTTCAACTTGGATATTGTAGTTCACAAGGTAATTCACTTTGCGATGAAGTTCAATAAGGAGTCTGTGCTCGTAGTATTTCAGTCCTTGTATCTCCTGCTTCAAATCTCTTATCTCTTGTTCAATGATCTTGAGTCTCTGCAATACTTGTTCCACCCCCTTTGCGATTCCAGAAAAGCTCGGATCGACTTTGTCAGGTTCATTGCCTGTGTGATCTGCTCCATCTGGATCAGTATCTGGTGGGACATCCAACTCCACAGCAAGGTTATACAGGTCATTATATCTACGGTGCAATACTTCCCTGAAGTCATCCTCTGACAGGAGGTCTCGAGCCAAATCAAATCCAGGTCTTAGAACAGGTCTTCCAGAGTCCGAAACTGGATCCCAGGTGTGTTGATAATCATACATGCTTTCTGCAGGCACTGAGAGCAGTGCCCGTTTCAATTGCTGCAGAGACACATGTTGGGTTTTCCTATACCTCGGGGGTGTCAAGTTTTGAACACATTCAGGCCTCATGATGTTTTCAGTCAACGTGAGTCCATGATAGAGACTCTGGATTGCTGGAATTATTAGCTGTTGAATGAGTCTAATGGTTTCTGTCAAGTTCTTGGTGGAGCAAGCAAGAACATCAATGTAGTGTCCTAACTGTCCTCCAAGTTCTACCCTGATTAAAATCCCATTGATATTTATTGAGATGAGGTATTTCTCCAGACTGTAAGTTGCTCCATGTTGGTTCTTTAATGCCATAATTCTGTTATGAAGATGAACCTGGATTTGCAAACACACGAAAATCAGGAGTTCGCAGTTCTTTGGCTTTGTCAATCAAACAAGAAGGATATCATCTAGGGGTATGTGTGCCATTCATAATCCCAAGCTATGGCTACCATTCAAGCATTACAGAACTGCTAAACCCGTAAGAAACATTTAAGAATCCAAGGATCATCCGTTAGGGTTTATTCTCACATGCAAAAAAAAAAAAAATTATATTAAATACTGAATGCTAGCTCAGAAAGTCTCTTTTCGTTTGAAAGAACAAAAGGGTGGATGGTCATGCAGACAGGCAATAGGCCTAAAAAGTGAGGGATGGATTAAAAATTTCAGAGTTCGAAGGCTCCGACGCAGACAAGGAGTCCATGTATAATTAGAATACCAGTAAAGTTCATTCTGAAAAATACGAGTTCGTAGCTTATAGCATCGAATTCTCTATGCAGTGTAAAGCTTACTTTCACACTTTCGTGCATGCTCAAAAATCAAGGTTTAGGTTCTAGGACAGTTAGACATTCAATTTCACGGGAAAGCAGAAGGGAAAATAAACTAAAAGTTGAGGGGCCAGAAAACATTGAAAAATTGCCTGTAAACGAGGAAAGAAGCCTGGTGTGAGAAATGTGTGGCTTGAATCATCGCATTCCAGATGCCGCCCGGCATAAATGCAGTCACTTGTACTTAACTGCCATCTCTGGGGCTTCCCTCTGCCTTCTTCAAGAATTGAGGGGATCAGTAGCAGAGAGTTTGGATCCGATGGGTTTTGTTCATAGCATAGTTCTAGTTTCAGCATCATCTTCACAAGGTCACCGGCCTCTAAGTTTTCAAATACTTTTGAACTCATTCCAGGAATTTGACTATGCAAACTTCCTCTCAGAATCTTCTCCACTTCCTTTCTGCTAACGAATCCGTTCTCCTTGGAGCTTTGCTTTCTAACCTCTAATTTTACTAGTTGGCCAAGCACTTCACCACAGAACCACTCACAATCTAGGATTAGGAAGCCTAATTCGTCAAAATATATCACCTCACCTATATGATGAAGGCAAACAGCAACAGCCTTCCTCCTCATTTCCACCTTACCTTTATTATCATGTCTTGATCGAATTCTCAGTGGTGGAACCTTCACTTGGCAAAGCTCATCAAATTCTTTCCACTTCATTGCAGGCTTGTTGTAGTTCTCTGCTCTCCAGTCTGACAAAATTTGAATCAGGTCATTGCAAAGCTGATAAACTCTGGGCACTCTTTGGAGAATTGTCTTGCTCGTCTTTCGAAGATGATGAGTGAGTTTAGTGACAGATGCAGAGGATCTTGCATCAACTGTGAATACAGTGGGATAGAAGTCGATGAACCCTTGAAATTTTTCTATTAGTCTCTGAATTGAATTCACTGTAAGCTGCAAGTTTTGTGATGGTTGATTGATTTTGTCAAAATGAGTAAGAACTATAGTTACATTGGGCAGCATGCATTGCTGGAGTGCTCTTCTTGAGTTGGAAACAATGAACCTGAGCCAATATTGCAGGTCCTCCTCTATCTCTGCTGGCGTCTTTGGTTCTCGGTTGTTAGGCGTTCTGAATAAACTGGATATGATCAGGAAGAATGATGCACTCCCATGCCCCGGAAACATCAGATCATGGAGGGAGTAAAAATCATGCTCACCACCAAGATTCCATATTGATATCTTTGTGCCTTCATCTCTAAAAGTCTTAATCTTCATTCCACTTGTTCTAACAGCCTGTTCAACTGGGTTTACTAGGTTTCTCACTTGGTCCATGTAGGGAAGCTTCGAGGAGGAGAAGTTCTGAGATATTGAATTACAAAGGGCAGTCTTGCCTGCAAATAGGAAATAACAAAATTTGGTTTGTTAATCTCTGCTTTCAAGATCTAGGACAATATAGGTTAAAGTACATATGAAGTTCTCTAAACCAATGTAGACACTGTAATTTTAAGGCTCAGATCTTTACCTGCGTATTCTTGCCCACAGAAGAAAACCCTGCAGCTTTTTGGTTCAGTGAGCGGCATGTCCTTGAATAAATCTGTATCTGTTTGTGGTTCAGTCTTTCCATTCTGGCCTAACCTTTGATAAATTCCATCAGCCTTCCCTGAAATCTGCAGTGGTGTTCTTGACAGATCAATGTCTTCAATCCAAGGATTAACTTGCAATGTCTGTATTATTGTCTTGAGTACCACCTCTCCCTGAACCCCTCTACAACCTTGCAATGACAAATATCTCAAAGTTGCATTCCTCTCTAAGCTCCTGAAGATTCTGATAAAATCATCTGGTCTCAAACTCTCATCGTTATATATTCCCAGCTTAATCACACTCTCATTGGTTGTCAGCATCTGTATGATGGATGCGAGCCCATCCCTTCCAATTTTTGTTCTCCCTCCGCCAAAGGTCACAGACTTGAGCGTAATGTTGGCTTGGCTTTGCAAGGCCGAGAACCTGCTCAAAGGGCATACCAAATGCTCTACACCTATTCCACTGAACCAGTTTCCATCAAGATACAAGCTTTCCAAACTCTGATTCTTGAAGAGTCCAGCTGCAATATACACAACCCCTTTGTCCCTAAGGCAAGTTTTTGACAATCTTACCTCCTTGAGTCTCCGATTTTGTTCCAAAACCCATCGAAACTCCTTAGCCCACCGTGATTTCAGCTGGACTCCAGTCATGTCAAGTGACTTAACTGTCGAGTTCCACCCTAGAGAGCAAGCAACCCTGATGGAATCTGAAAGGTGTAGCTTGTAAATTCGAAGTGTGCTGTTCTCGGGTACAAACTCCACTACCTTGGAACTTTTCTCTCCATTCTCTCCACTCCAGACATGAACCTCCATCGCCCTATTTCTTGCTAAAACAGCTGATATAAGTGAAGCCGCAGTTATAGGATGTGAATCAAAAATTGTCAAAAGTTTCAGCGTTGAGTTTACTTCAATCATCTTTGAGAGCTCCTCAGCACCTTTTGAACCGATTGAGTCTTCCCATATCTGCAACTCTTCCAAGCTCTCGTTTACCTTAAGAGCAGAAGCTATAAGGCCAGCCCCAACTGGGCCTATACCTGATTCAGAAATCATAACTTCTTTGATCACTCCATTTCTCTTCAAAACCTCACAAAGCTCAGATAAGCATTCTGTATTGAATCTATTCAGCTGAAACACAAGTTGGTTGATGTTTGAGCTATTCTGAAGCAAAATCCCAAGGTACACTAGCTGTTCTAATCCCCACTCAACGCGGTGAAACTCCAGGTTGGTTAAAGATGATTGAATGTTTTTGGCCGTGCCTAAGTCTGAAAGGATGTTAGAGAAGTGTGAAAGGCTGTCCTTTGAAATGTATACGTTGATTGAGTTTTCTGTTTCTTGGTAACAGCCTGAAGATTGGTGAGAAAGGTAGAAAGAAATGTTTTGAGGATTGAGGCTTTCGGATTTGATCATTTGCAGAAGCCATGGGAGCTCTCTAAAGTTCTGGTTTGATGCCATTGCTGCAATAAGTTATTACAGCAACTTTCTTTGCTTCTTAACTGAATATTTGTGTAAATGAAAAACAAATTAGATAATTTTTGTTATACTTGAAAAAAAAAAAAAAAAACTATTCATTCCTTGTCCTATATATATATATATATATATATATAGGGATAGCCTAGCCTGAAATTGTGGTTCTTTGTGTCTTGCAAGAAAATGCTGCCCATGCATGTATAACAGAGAGTGTATTCTTCTTTATATCATTATATTCTCATCTTCTTCGTCAAGGTATTCCTTTTAGCCAGCTTGTTTCAAAGGTAATGAATACCTTGTTACTTTACTAATTCTCTCGTTCATATTCTCAAGCTCCTTTCTTCTACAAAAAATAAATAAACAAAATTCTTTTCATTGTTTTTGTTAGTTTAGGGAGATGGAATTCAACTTTACTTTTTAGGGGAGATATCAGATATGTGACTATCAATTAGCTACTCTTAGGCCGTTTATTTGTTTTCAGACTCATGATGCTTAAGCATGTTTATTTATAACTTGTTAATATTTTACTAATATGATATTTAATATAAACTCGGATCAGGGATTCTTGATATATTATTATGCACTGTTCAGAGTAAAGAACCCAAAGCTCACAACTGGAGCCAGGTGGCAGGAGGTGCAAAAGTGCTGCTCTACTTTTTGACCTTTCGGGTTCCTACGAAGGATCATACATTCTTCTTTTCCCACTGGAAAGAGAGGGAATCCAATGAAGTGAAACTGAAAAGTCTAAAACTGTGAAGTCTTTTTAGACAGATTAACCTCTCTCTCTCTCTCTCTCTCTCTCTCTCCCCCTTTCTTTAAGGGTTCCTAGTTACGCACAGACGCCTGGTAAAAAATTGGGTTAAGGGTACGTTTGAAATTCTACTGGTAAAGTCAGAGAAAATTATAAATTGGTCCCTCTAGTTTGAAAAACAAATTAATTAATCTCTTTTGTTTTATAAACTAATTATTTAATTTTTTTTATCTGTGTTGATCACGTTTAATTGAATATTATTTTATTTTAAAAAATATTTTATTTTCTTGTCAATCTTTTCATGAATATTTTGTTCCATTTTTAAAATAAAACAAAACAAATTAGAAAAATATATAAAATAGAAAAAAATGATTAAAGAATTAGCTTTTGAAACAAAGACCAATTAATACATTTCTCAAAACTAAAGAAACTAATTTATAATTTGCTCAGTAAAATAATGATCTTTTATGGAGCAAAGAAAGTGGATTTATTTTCAGAGTTCCCATTTACATTTTTTTTTTTTTTTGTAATACATTTCAAAAATGCTTTTCCAAAATGTTTTTGGAATGAAAAAAATCAAACTGATTCTATTTTAAGTATTATCCTTTTGATAATTTGATGATTTTTCAATAGATTTTACCTGCATATAGCTATTGTACTATTTGAATTTTTTTTTTTTTTATTGAAACTCTCTCTCTCTCTCTCTCTCTCTATATATATATTTTGTCCATTGAGTTTTTTTAATCTTCATTTTGCTTTGTTTCCGTACCTCCGTTATAACGTTATTAATTTATGAATTGTGTAGCGTTAGTGTGGTATGTCTATTCCCGAATATGTGTTTCATGTTATACTTGGGATCTCAATAGAAAAACTCAATTAAAAAAATTTAAAATATAATGAAACTTCAATCAAAATAATTTAAAAAGTACAAGGACTAAATTTTTTTTCTTATTAATATATTTTTAGGACCTCATCTTGAATAGTGCAAAATGTCCGATCGGAGTAAAAATCTAAACAATTTTTTTTAAATACTATAATAATTTAAAAATAATAAAATACGAACAAAACAACCCTAACATGCAATTAAAATAAATAGAGTATAAATATATTCATCAAAATTAAAATAAAAAACAATAATCAAATTAATAGCTAATTATCTATATTAAAAAAGAAAATATGTGGCAGTTCGTAGATTTTTTTTTGTTTTTATAAAGAACAACCTCATTTTTCATTTTGAATTGGTCAAATATTCATAGTAAGTTTTTACCTTTTATGAAGGATTAGACCTATTAACTAACAATCTGTGACTCATCAACATTTAGGATGATATATAATAATAATAATAATAATAATAATAACAACAACATAAAATTAGAAAAATAATAATTTAATTTCACAAACTAATGGCATTATAACGAAAAAAATAAAAAGTAAAAAGACTTAATAAAAAAAATAAGATTTCAATGAAAGTAATTAAAAGAATAGAAGGAACATGTAATTGCAAAACCCAGTTTTCAACCTACCTAAAATTACTTTGGAAATTTTATCATGGATTTTCTTAGGAGTTTTCCCTATTTGATTTGAATTAAAAAATCAAACCAAAAAGATAGTTTGGTTTTTAACTCAAGAATTTTTTAAGAAATGAACTGATTTTTTTTTTCAGTTTCAATTTGGTTTTGAAATTTTGGTTTTCGTTTAAACCGAAAATCAAATTTTATTTTTTAAAAGTTTTAAAATAATAGAAATAAATCAAAAAATCAATACTTTAACATTATTATGGATCTATGATGGGTTAAAACCATTTTTGGTCTATTTATATTTTTTAAATAAAAAATTTTAAAAAATCAACTTTTTTTTTGTTTAAACTAAAAAATCGAAACTAAAAACTGAAAACTGAAAACCGAAATTTCATTTTTTTTTTAAAAATTAAATTACTGTATGGTTGGGTTTGGTTTCAGTTTTAAATTTTATAAGTTAGATTAACTCAAAACGAGATTAAAATATTATAAAATGATTTTCCAGCAGGAAGCAACTCACAAATAATATGAGCCGAATCACATTGTCAAAGGTGTAATGGGCCTACAAGTCTAATGTGTTTTGCGGGTGAATCAGGATTGAATAGATGGTAGGGCCTAGCCTAAGATGATCAGGTTAGCCAAGGAATAATGAAATACCTTTCAAAAACTAAAATCAATTTCAGTACTATAATAATAATAATAATTTAATTATTCTTCTTGAAAAATTTTCCCGAATTTTATTTTCCTAAAAATCTCAATTCCCTTGTTGGAATTACTAAATGATATTAAAATCCAAAACCTTATTATGAACAGTAATGGACCTAGAGATGCTTGACAATTATTCAATGATTAGACACTTTTATGTCTCGTACTTAGATGTTATTTTTCAAACTTATTGATAGCAATGTTCCAATAAATTCTATAACAACTTCATCTTTTGCTATTTCTTACACAAACAAAACAAATTAGTTGCCAACAATATAATATTTTTTTGTGTCTGGACCATGAATCTCCTAAGTTTGGATTAATAACATATTTCGTAACTGCGATCTTGATATTTTTTGATATAGTTTTTCTAATCTTTTTTAATATTTATTTGATTTTTTTATTTTAAATATTTATTTATTCGATCTTTCTATTTTAAAAATCTTTTTTATGTGATCCTTTTCATTGAATTTTAATCATTTTTTATATAAAAAGTGACATATAAACTATCATGTATAGGGATACCGTAAAAAAAAAATTGAAATAGATGAAAATTTGAGTTTTAAAACGAGAAAAAAAAAATAGAGGAAAAAGGTAAGGAGGGGTGAAACAGGCGATGAAGCCAAAGAGGATCACCGAAGATTTTTACAGCTACAATACAGTCAATGTTAAGAGTTTTCATCTAAACCCCAAAAAACGAACGGCTAAGATCATACATTGTACAAGAATTACAAATTTCTTCCCTTATGTAATTGTTTTTTCACTTCTTTTTACCATATTTCCTTCCACCTCTATGCACAAATTAATTAATTAGTTAGTTTAAAAAAATTATTAATCGTTATGCCATATCAATATTTTTTGTTTGAAATTATTAGTTATTAAATTTAATCATGCCTTGTATAGAACCAATGTTAATTTAAAAAGAAAAATCTATATCCAAAATTAAGATGAGAAATAAAAGAAAAAATCATTAAGTTAATTAAAAATGAAGTTTAAAATAATTATGAAAAAATGACATGCCAATGAAAATATTCTATTCTTAAAATTTCGACATGCAAGTAAAATTTTTGTTAGAACAAATATTTTTCATCTAGTAAAAAAATTTCTTTTGAATTTTTATGCTAAAGATATTTGTATGTATAAAGAAAAAGTATAAAGAATATTAATTTTTTGCTAGTGAAGAACAAAAAATGGAAGAAAGAATTGATTTTTTTTATCAATTAAAAATATTTTAAGAAAGTACATTATTTAAAATTTTGCCCGGATAAGTATTTTAAGACATATATAAATAAAAAGATTAACAATCTTTTTAAAACACAAAAAAAAATATTATTTTTTAAAAGGAAAATTGATTTTTTTTTCAATCATTTTTTTTTTGGATACCATTACATAAATATATTCATATCAAATTAAACATGACATTAGATTTGAATACCTGATAATACCATGAATTTTTATCAAGTGACGTTAGTGCGAAACAAAATAATAATAAGAAGGTTAAGCACTTTCGTTTGATATTGACCAAATATTCAACTTATAGAAAATAAAAAATAGAAGAGAATATAAATTAAAATAGCATAAAATTGAAAATGTCAATAAAAAAGGGGGACACATGGGAATAGAAGGGGATTTTCTTCGAGCATTTGCACCAAACGAAAGAACCGATATTTAAGAAAAAGGATTCTTAGGCCATAATGATGGAATCTATTAAGTATAATACTAGTTTTGGACCTATGTAACGTTACGGGCTAGACAGTAATATATAAAATTATTTAAAAAATTCATTTTAACTTGATGGAGATCTACTAAAATATATCAAAATAAAGGTAAAAAAAAAAAATTCCATTCAATTTTTTGTTTTAATTTGTATTTGACTAATTATTCATCATATTTTTCATAATATTTTTGCTAAAAAGAACATGATTTATTTTTCTTTATCTAGATTCTTAACTAAAAACTCATATTAT